GCCGTACTTCGGCCTTTGGTCTGCTCTACAAGCTCAAACCAGCTCTTGATTAGGACTGGATCTTCACATAGAGCTCTCTGCCTATCGTACGCTCGATTGAAACGCGTCGTAAGACTGTCTGTACGCTTGACAAAGTTGGCTAGCCACTTCTGCCCAACCTGGCCAGCGCCGCGCGCAGCCAGCAGCTTATCAGCCATATCGCGCACAGCAGCATACGTGGGCGCAAATCCACGTAGATCTAGATCAAGTATATGATCAACTATCACCTCCTCTTCTAGCTTAGTGAGCTTCTTTGAGTTAGGCTAGCAATCGCGTCGAGCAGGTATACCAGCGCGTCGGCGGCGGATTGTTCGTTCAGACACGTTGTAGACAGCAGCAGCACGACAATTACTTTGTGTTTGATGGAGATTAATAGAAGAAATAGCAAGCTAAATATCTGCTTCATTTAAAGCTAATTAAGTAGCGCTACGTTGAGCCATTGTTCGTTGAGATAGGAGAGGTGCGCAGGTTTGGTGGGGTGCGGCGCTCGCTTACCTGCGGCGCTCGCTTGCCACATACGTTAGTCATAGATAGTATGTTTTGTTCTTTGTGCGAATTAGAGTAAGTATCTCTTGTGAAGTGATACAAGCCTTGAACCCATGCAAGACCATGGAAATTGGTGGTTTTTTGTAGACTGGTTGGTAGATTGTAAGAATGTATTCAACGGTTCTCTACTAGACTTGCAAGAACAGAGCCTGAATACCGAGAATACAGAAGTAACAAACCTGCATTTGGTACTAAGGCGACCTAAAGACACTATACTGTGCGGGCTAACAATAAAAATATAAAGAGGCGCATGATGCATCTGCTACTATAATCTTCTATGTTTTCGCGAATCGAATACGGGTATCACATCTAAAGTAAATACATCGACAAAGTTGGACAAGCTCCTATCACGCGACAGGTTCACAAATATAGGCATCTGCTACTATTCCACGAACTAATCGCTCGAATGACACAACATAGATGCTTACCGACTCTGCAATTCTCAAGTTTGCATATACATCTAATAAGCTGATGATAATATATTGTTGTCTTGTTTGCATAGCTAGTAGGCATGTACTGGCACATTCTGACTTCTAAACGCAATGGTAATCTCATTTACCAACGTGGAAGCGCAGGTTCCAGCATACAATATCGAGAAGCGTGGGATATACCTCGAGGCATACACGGTACGTGGAAAGTGAAATAATTGGTAGAGAAGGATACTTCTGGATATAGGGCGAGTTCAAATACTTCAATAACCCCCGCGAAAGAGAAGTGTCCCTAGCCGGATTGGACAAAGGCAAACGTGCTTGCTATTATCAAGCTGGATAAAGACGCTCGTATAGCAGCAACCATCGCAGGCCATAATCATACTATCCTCACTCACCCACTCATTATTCTTGTTTACAACTCCATATATCTACTGCTACATACATCAAGCAAACGCCTCACCCAACGCCTGTGTATACACCCCAACCACGAAGAACGCCCTACTTGCTAAATCCCAACTCATACAAAAACCCCAGCACCAAGCGCCCATGCTGCAGCACATGCGCCGGATCAATATGCTCCATGGTATCCCTTGGGGTATGAATATACGGATTCTGATACTCGGGCGCCGACTCCAACACAAACGAAGCCGGGAACCCGTTGCGCGTTGCAGAAACGTGATCTGAGCACGCGTAGCCGCACGTGCTGTTAACATAGCTAATGTCCGTGTACTATGGGCAGTTAATATTTGTTTCTCTGGTTAGTTTTTTTTTCATTGATTTTCAATATAGCATCATGATTTACTTTTCCCCGGTACGTAAGTAAGGGGAGGGATAAGTTTTCCTTTATTGTAAATTCTCAGGTTTCGAGAAGGGGAGAGGACGAAAAGAAAAGAAAGTAAAGAAAAGGACAGGAAAGGGAGAAAGGTAAAAAAAAAAAATCGCCCGTGTCGCGCTTGGTGTTTTTCTTTTTTCTTTTTTCTTCTTTTTTTTTCTCCTTCCTCCCTTTCCTGTCCCATGCAGATTTCCCAGACGGAGATGAGCGTGAACTGGCGAATGTTCCGACGAGGAAAATTAACACGTCCGCTAGCTACTACTAAAGGAAAAAGAGCAAAAAAGAAATAAAAATAAAAATAAATACATCCTCTTTTGAGAAAGAAAGATGGGAAACGTGCGGCGGGCAAAAAGCAACCAAGTACATAAGTACGTAAAAGAAAAAGTCAAGACTAACCTCATGAATAACCTGCGCAACAAACGCATTCAAGCCGGCGTGCGTAAAATCCGTCATCAGGCCAAAACTCTCCTCCTTGCCCGCATCCAGCGTGCCCCGCGTATACCCCACCATATCCTGCTGCAGCACGCCCCAGACACGCCTGCCCTCGCGGCGATAACGGCGAAACACATCGCGACTACCACGCAGGCCAACCTCCTCGGCCGCATACCAGTGAAACTCAATCGTCTTCTCGAGCCCATATCCATGATGCTGCTGCTGTTGCTGCTGCTGCTGCTGCGACATGACATGCGCGTCGGTGAGCAAAACACGCAGGCACTCGAGTAGGAGAAAAGTACCGCTGCCGTTGTCATCGACGCCCGGTGCGCGCCCTGTTTTGCGCTTCTTCACGTTGATCGAGTCGAGGTGCGCGCCGACGATTACCGTTGTGTTGCTTCTGCCCTGGATGCGCGCGACAATGGATTTCTGGCCGAACTTGGAATGCTTAAACGGGGCGACGCTTACCACCACTGCTGCTGCTGCTGCTGTTGTTGTTGTTGTCGTTTGAGACGCGTGGTTTGCTCGTGCCACGACATCTTGCACCTGCGTGAGAAGCCACTGTGCGGCTTTGGCGCCGCTTTTGGACTTGCAGAAGCGTGTGGGGAAGCGTGTGGAGAAGTATTCTAGGTTCTTCTTGATGGTCGGCCAGCTGAGTTGCGGGATGAGGTTGCGTCGGACGGTTTGTACGTATTGTAGGTCTTGGGGGTAGGGGGCTCCGTGCTTGAGGGATAGAATAAGAATACACACGCCATCATGGGTCATGGTTGGCGTGATCTGTAGACTGAGAGTAAGTACATACCATGATAAAGCTCCATTGCTCTTCCTCGCCACTCTTGCGCGTCTTCCCAAGCGCAAGCTCATTCGTAGATAGGCTCTTTGGCTGGACATGGTTGTGGTCATGGTCTGCTGCGATGACAGTGGTCGTGTATACAACAGCTACTAGGAGCGAAAACAATTTCATTTCCCCCCTGTGTTGATAATGAAGAATAAACGATAGCTCGAAGAAGAAGAGATAATTTCATCTGTATCCTGTGCAAATACATCATGAAAAGACCCTCCCAATCACATCAGTTTAGGACATGTAGACATGCCTTAAAGAGGGAGCATGTGAAACAGTACCAGACCAACCTTTCCAAACCCACATGCTACTGAGCTGTGAAAAAAAGAAACTACGCTGCCTGAGCATGGAGACAAGTTGAAAATCTGCAGATACCATAATAGTTTATCGCCGATGAACAACATACTGCGCATATATGGCTAGACTCCAAACCTGTCCTATCAATGCGGCATCCGTCTTGTGGCTTTCCAAGTACAAGGCAGCTCATCATGACAGCCTCAGGGTAGTCTGCCACCAACAATGACGCTTGGCAATTGCAATGCGAACAATCAATCATCCACCGACGCCCATGGTCACGATGAAAACCATCAATACAGTACTCATTGGTACATATTTTATTCGTAAACCCTCTTCATCAGCCAACTCCTGCGCTACATGCAAATGAATAAAAGTGGGTATAAGTGACAGAAGACTATTCGTCTATACATCTTGACGCAATATAAATGCCACCAAACCTGCGCTATGCTGAACCAGACCTGGTTCTGGGGCCCGACAAGATGAACAATGAACAGGAAGGAAACAAGCGGTCCGTCGCTACGGGGAACTTGAGTATGGGGCACTGCTACCTCCGGCCCTGTACAACCCGTTAGTTAGCATTTTCGAAAAAAGGTTGTAGAGGGAAGCTGACGTACTAAGACGCTTGCGCCTCCTCCAACAGCGGCTCGCTGTTTTCCGAGCCAGCCTTTGGGTGCTTCGCTGCGTCTTTGCAGGATCACAGTGTTGCTCAACAGCCGTGAGTTCATGTCGTACCACATGGACTTGACTAGCGCGTTCTCGCGGCGGAGGTTTTCGACTTCTTGCTGGAGTTCCATCTGTTTGTGTGTTGGTATTTTGCTTGTGAGTGAATCAATGACACGTACCGATCCCTTTTCTGCCGTCTCTGCCTTTGCCTGCTCGAGTTCTTCGCGCAGGGTTTCGTTCATGTCGAGCTGTTCTTGAAGGTCCTGTTACGAGTCAGCATCTAGCCTTGCAATAGAACATGAGAGGAAGAAAGAAATGTCGCCAAGGCAAGTATACTCAGGCAGCAGGCAGGGACAAACTTGCCACAGAGTCATGAGATGGTTGTATACAGTGGCCCGTCGAGACCAGTTGCGCCATGCGAGCCCATGTAGTTTGTCCCGTACCCGCCGTCGAAGTAGACATCTCCGAAAGCGACTTGTTCTTCCCCGGATAGCCCGCGTGTGGTGAAGCCGGCGACACCAGAGTAGGACAGGTCAACGAAGGCTCCAGCTGCTGTCGCCTCATGATGGAGACTGCCGCATCAAATGCAGAAGATGGCTGGCTATGAGAAATTTGTCGAGTACTCACCTTCTTCGCCTTGTCCAGAGCCGCTTCGGCCGAGAGAACCGTCTCGGCAATCTCTGTGCTCGTTGCATCCAGCACTTTCGGCTGTGCTTCAGCAGGGGCTTTGAGAACAGACTCTATCCGTTCACGCATCTCCTGAATCGTCTCGACCCTCTTGAGTTGGAGCAGCTCTGCCGGCAGGTTTTCGCGGTCGAGTAAGGCTGCTCGCAAAAGACCTGCCTTTTCAGCATTTGCAAGTTCGAGCTCTCGCAGTCTGTCGTTTGTTCTCTCTTGCAGCACCAGCAGACGCGCATGCTCCTTTTGCACGCTACTTGACCGCACCTCCTCGTCGACATCGGATTCTGAAAAGGTTAGCTTGGTCATATCAACGTGCTGGGTTACATACTCCTGTTCAGCTCGTTGCGAAGCTCTGCCATCTGCAAGTCCTGCTCTCGCAACCGACGACGAAGCTCCTCCAGTTCTGTCTGAGCTGTTTGGAGTTTCTCGTTTTGCTCGAGAAAGGGCCTTTTTGCCTTGTTAGCACGGGATGAATGGCATTGGCGGGGGCTGTCTTACTTCTGGCTGGTCTCGTCTTTTTCCGCCATCATGTCGGACCGCAGGCCCAGGTTCTCCTGCATTTGCTTGAGTGTCTCGCCTTCCAGAGACTTCAAACGGGCAGTGAGAATGTCGACTCGTTGTTGCAAAGCAATGGCGTCTGCGCTGATGCGTCCGTCAGATGTTGCGGGCTGCTTGACGTCGGATTCTTGATTCGCGCTCTCGTCTTGCGACAGTTCGTCTTCCAGACTGTCACCTCGGTCGGCATGGTGTGCTGATTCCAACTCTCGAATACGCTCTTCAAGCTCCTGCTTGGCATCCTCGGCCTTGTACTGCAACTCGCGTGTCTGCTCCAACTGCTTCATGAGCAGCAAGTTCTCATGCTCCAGACGGGTGCGCTTGCCCTTTTCTTCGAAGATGGCCTGCTCGCCGTTGGCCAGCGTCTGGCCATTCTCCTTGATGATGTTTTGCAGAACCTCGATTCTCTCCTCGACATTTTCAAGCTGTGCCAAGCGTTCACGTGCCTGCTGGTAGTCTTCTCGCAGTGCCTCGAGTTGCTTCGTCTCTTTGGTCAACGACTCAATCTTCTTCTTGAGATTCTCATTGGCTTTGGCCTTTTGGCTTAGTTCGTCACGCTCGGCCTTGACGACTTGTAGCTGGTCACGCAATTCCTGTTTTGATCCTTCCTCGCCCTGCAACCGGTCGAGGCGGCGCTTCTGGCTGTCCATGATTTCTCTTGCACTCGCCAGGTCCTGCTCGAGCTGGTCAATGTATTGGCGGTCACGCAGCAAGTCGTTGCGTAGGTTTTCGACATCGTCGGACTCGGCACGCTGGGCCTGGCCGGCGCGGACGTCCAGGTATGCACTTGCTTCGGCGACTTCCTCCTCGAGCTTGGCTATGCGCTCTCGCGACGACTTGAGCTCCTCATTCAGCTTGGCAACCTGTGTCTTGAGCGCCTGTCGGTCCTTGTTGGCCTCGAACAGCTGTGCCTCTTGCTCGAGTTCGTTGCCCGGGGGTGCCGGCTGGCCAGAGGCCGCACGCGTGGGCGTCCGGTAGCCAGAAAGAACGGGCTCCGAAGTCAGTTCTGCATCGACTCCGAGTTCTGACATGCGCTGGTCCAGGGCCTGCATCTCCTGGATGGCCTCGGCAATCGTCTCGGCCGTCTTGGTGCCCAGCTTGGGCATGACTTGGAGCATGCGCTGGTTGCTGCGGGGCGAAAAGCAGGCGGCGAGCAGTACGGCCATGGTGAGCTTGGCCACGAGCATGGTGGATCCGTCGCGGGCGCCCGTCTTCAGGTCCGGTATCATGCGCTTTGTGAGGACGGGCAGCTGCTCGCATTCCTCGCGGATGTACGTCGACGTGGTGCGCTCGATGTGCTTGAGGTTCTGCCATCGCGGGATCCAATTGTCCGACTGGCGGCGGTGGTTTTCTTCAAAATTGGGCAGGGACTCGTTGAAGTAGTCGGCGTCGATGTCGGCGAGGATCTGCCACAGAATCTGGCCGTCCTCGAGCTGGTTGAGCGAGGTGATTCGGTAGGGCAGGTCGAAGGTGTTGACCTGCATGCGCACCTGGCCATCAGCGACTGCGTGGAGCACACATGGGGGGTGGGAGGGGGCAGAGAGGGAGGCATACCCAGTCCAGGAGAGCCTTGAGCAGCTCGGGCTTAAAGTCGTCCATGATGTCGGGCGGTTGCGTGGGCGCGGGGCTTCGCTTCACGACCCGCTTGTGTGCTTTTCAATGTCTATGCGTGGGCGGTAGAATGCGAGTTGGCCGTCATGCATTTCGAGGCGGGCGGCGGCGGCGGTGCAATAACTTGTAGAGGGTGCTGCTCCACCACGCACAGGCTGTTCCTTGCTCAGGACGTGTCGACGCGTTGAGTGAGGTTGGGTGTCGGAACGCTAGGCCGGAATACAACACACTCCCGCGGGGGCCGTCTTCACCGCTGCATGCGCTCAGATCGCGAGAAGAGGGGTCCGGCTCGGGCGTCGAGATGTTGGGCTTGCGAGTCTGGTAGAGGGCGACGTGACGCGCATCATGGCCATGCCCATCCGCCTGCTGAGACGACACGCACGTCCCCGTTGGCCTTTGGGGCGAGCCGTCATGGCGGGGAAGGGGCCGCTGCAAGTGCAAGCCTCACTCGCCCACGCCTGTTCTACACCTACACCATGCTGCCAATTCTACACTGCCACGCCGCATAGTCGCTGCGCTACCTCTGCACTGCCAGCCATGCCTGCTGCGGGCCCTGCTGGCCCTGTTGGCCCTGCTGGCGCCGTCACATTCACGTGCATCGTCGCCGCCGTCGCCGCCCATGCCCGCTTGTTTCAAGAGCTGCCGTTCAATTCAAATCATGTCGTCTCCTGACGCAAAACCACAGACTATTTCCAGCCCACCAACAACCAATGCCTTTTCGCTAAACGCCGGCCCCAAACCCAAAAAGAAACCACACTCGTCCAAAAGCAACGTCGCCGCCACATGTCCCGTGGCCATACACAGTGCCTCCCGTCGTGTACCTGCGTCTTGCTGCGTCACTAGCCTACGCCTTGTTGTTCTGCGTAGTAACAATGCCGTCCTCCTCAATCTCGCACTTGTACACGTCGCTCAGCGCCGTAACCACCTCGAGCGCAGAGGCTGGGGCCGAGGCAGCGAAGCCCTTGATGATGTTGTACTCGTGCGTAATAACACCTACAAGCATTGCTCACGTCAGCCTCTTTTTTTTTCTCTCTCTCTCTCCACATGTCGCGCACACGCCGCAAGCTATGCGCATGGGCGGAAAAAACAAAGAAAGACCGTCTGTTCTCTTACCCTTGGCCTTCCGGATAGCCTCCTTGCTCTGCTCGACAATCTCATCCGGCGTGTCGTTAGGCCAGGTAACAATGACAGATCGATGAGGGGCAGCAGCCATGGCGAGGGCAGCAAAGAGGGCAATCAGGACAGAAAGGAGAGCGGAGCGCATGGTAGTCGGTCGGTGGCAAGAGTGCAGCAAGGTCGTCGGAAGAGCAGTTGCACGCGGGAGCGGGAGTCGGAGGGAGTTCCTTGAGGGGGCGCGATGGCTCCGTTGCTGTGTCTTATCGTGTGCTGAGGGGTAGTACCAAGACGTCGACGGTTGGGGAAGCTGTTTGTACGTGGCTAGCGACAACGAGGAAGGTGGTGGTGGTGGTGTTGCAGACGACCCGTCCAGAAGCGGCAGGCGGCAAGGCGCGTCATGGTCCCGGGGCAGGTGCCGCCACCTCGCATAGCATCGCATCACCTCACATCACATGCCGCTGCCAAGACACGCCGTACCGACATGCATACATGCATACATACGTACATACAAACATACAAAACATACATGGATACAGGGCTCTACTCATTCAATGGTCTATTCAGACTTGCCACCTAGCTCCAGGCTCACGACAAGTGCCGCTGCAATACTGTACCAGAACGAAAGAAAGAAACAAGGAAAAAGACGCCGCCTACGTGGCGACAATGCTCATGCCAATGCTCGTACTATGCTCGTACTATGCTCATGCTGAACGTTTCTTTTAGCGCACCAAGGTGCCCTCGTCGTATACACAATCGATGCAGCCAAAGCAACGCACAAATCAAGGGGTAGAATACAAGTCAGTACAAGAAGAGAGAAAGGAAACAAACGCAAAAACCACTCCCAATGCCTCATGTCCATGCGCCGTATGATGCCAAAGGATGCCAAGGCTCCTTGATGATGATGATGATGATGATGATGATGATCGTGCAGTCGTACTGTACAAGACCAATCTGCCCGATACAAGAGCGTCCATGCAAGGGACAAGCTGTCCCGCCTGACCGCTCACAGACAAGACCGATAGATAGAAGAAAATATCGACATGCGACATGGCCGAGCTGCACACCCGTCCTCTCGACTGGTACCCGTGCTGCCCAACCACGTGCAGACGCCTTCGTGTGCTTCTGGGACGTACCATACTTCGTCAAGTCGTAATGTCGTCCAACATCTTTTGCGTTGCCCTAGAACCACTGTCCCTGGCCACCATTGGGCTGTGCAGTGCCGTACTGTTGCTGCTGCTGCTGCTGGTAGCCCTGGTTGTTGTGCATAGAGTTGTGCATGAGCTGAGGAACCGAAGGGTTGCTCAAGCGGTGCGGCTGTCGGTGCGGCTGCGGCGAAAGAATGCTGGGTCCATAGTTGGCATTGGACGTGTAAATGGGAGCTTGGTGCTGAGGGCCGTAGGCAGAGCTCGACTCGGAAGAGCCCTGTGCAGTGCCGGGAGACGCATGGCCAGAAGAGTGACGCCCCGTGTACGCAGCAAGACGGCTCTCGCGCTCTCCAACCTTGCTCATGATGCGGCGACCGTACGGAGTCTGGCGGATAGAAGGCAAGATCGGACGCATCGCCTCAATAAGGTGAACACACAACTCGGCAGGGGCAAACTCAAGCGCCGTCTGGATCACGTAGTTGCCGTACGAGTCGCGCATGAGCTGCTCAAGTTGCTCAACGTCCAGCAACTCCTCAATCATCATCGACTTGACGTGTGGCTCAGCACAGCGGATGCACTTCTCAATGACGTTGGAACTGAACTTTTGCTTGGACAGCTCGCAAATCTTGCCCTGGAAGCCCTGGCACATGGGCGTCGTGAAGGAGGCATCGTTGAGATCCAAAATGTACTGGACAACGTAGTTGCCAAAGGGATCCTGTACCAAGTGGAAGCTGTGGGCCGTAATCTTGCGAATGAGGTCCACCTTCTGGAAGCCCGAGGCATGGTCGATGCAACGCTGCAGGACGCAGCAGCCATGTCGGTGGGTGCCGACAGTGATGCAGTGCTCGCCGACCGCATCGAAGATGAACTGCGCATCAGGAGACTTGAGGTGGTTCAGGCACTTCTGGATGACGTGATTGCCGTTCAAGTCCTGAATGAGATCAACAACCTGGCCCGACAAGGCTCGGATGATCATCTGCGTCTGGTCGTCGGTCGAGATGAACTCAATCATCTTCTGCAGAGCCCGAGTTCCGTGCTGGTTGAATGCAATCTGGACCATGGCGGGAGCAGCGTTGCGAACAAGCGTGTTGCGCTGCTCGTCGTTGCAAAACTCCAGCAACTTCTGGCAGAGGTAGTTGCCAAACGGATCCGTCATGAGCTCAACGACATGAGGCGCCGTCTCATCAAAGATGATCTGGATGTTCTCGGCGTTGCGCTCTTCGAGCTTCTTCTGCAGGAAGCGACATCCATGCTGGTCCTTGCACAAGCTGTAAATGTCCTGGCGTGGCATGCTCTTGAGATCGTAGTTCATATACTTGTTGGCATCGTTCTGCAGGCGGCGGCTCTGAATGACACGAGCTTGGCTATCTTGAACACGACCACCCGGTCCGTAGGTAGCGTAGGGGTTGTATTGCGGTCCGCCACCGTACATGCCATTGGGGCCATAAGCCTGGGGTGCTCCGTACTGAGCCCCAGGTCCTGGTCCCTGTCCTGGTCCTGGGGCGGCACCAGGCCCAAGGTTGAGGTTGTTCATGGCGCCGTTGAGCATCGACATGCCATAACCATAGTATCCAGGGTTGGCTGCTGACACGCCCGAGTACTGCGACATGGCTGGCGAACCAACACTTGCTGACACTCCGCCATTAGGAGCCGCTGACGTGACCGAAGGACCGAATGGGGCAGCACTTGCATGCAGACCAGACTGAGGAGGGCGGTATTCAGCCTCACGGTTACCAATGGAGAGGTCGCGGCTGTTACGGTTTGACATGGCATTCTGCGGAATGCGACCGAGGCTTGCGTTGTGATTGTGGAAGTGCTGCTGGGCATGGGAGGTGAAGCCAATACCATTCGCTCCGTTGATGCCAGCGCTGTTCTTCAAGGTGGGAACATCGTTGGTAGAGTAAGATTGAGTCAGCTTGGGCATAGCATTAGTAGGGCTAGCAAAGCTGAACTCAACCGAGCGACGGTTGCTGTTTGCACTCTTCTTGGGGGTATTATCGCCATTGGTGTTGGAGCGGCCAGACTCGTAATCATCAACTGGAGGGGCTTTACGGAATGTGTTAGCAGGAAGCGACTGTTGAGCTTGACGGTGACGGTAGCCGTTCCAGCCTGTGGACTGGGTTTCCGGGCCAGGGGACTGGGAAAGGGCCAAGTCAAGCGCAGCAGAAGAGGCAGAGAGCTTCGTACCATTACCGGCGCCGTCGCGGCGAACCAAGACGGGGAAATCGTCCTTTGTGTTGCCCATCTGAAGAAAGCCGTTGCGGTCTTGAGAAGTAATCGACCTGTCTTCCTGGCCAAACAGAAATCCAGCCGTGTCAATGTGCCCAAGGACAGATGACAGATCCGGAAGATCTGGGCGGATGCCATAGTCCATGCGTGTGACGGGCATTGACATGCGGTTGCTTCTGCTTGAGCTTAGTGATTGGGCGAGGTCAAGGGAAATTGCATTTGAACTTACTTGCGTGCGGCTGGGCTCAGCGGGGTGAAGTCATCGTTCTCAAAGTCATCGTGGTCTTCCTCCGAGTTGCGACGAGATCCGGGCATCGACTGCGAAGGGAATTTGCCGTTGGTACCACCTTGCAGATTGGACGGGGGGGATGTAACCTGCGAGTTGGCGCGGCTACTGCGAGTTGTTGTCATGGTTGGGTTAATGCTTGACATGCTGAAGCGGTTGGGTCGAGACAAGGCAGAAGGAAAGCCGTTGGCCTCGTTATACTCTGGGGGAGTGGTGGGCTGGCTATGCGCGGGCCCGCCGTAATGGGCGTCGTTTGGGAAGCGGTTGATGTCAGCTTCGCCGTGTTGAGCTTGCAGGTTGAGCAGTTCCATCTCCGCGTCAAAGCGCCGCTTTGCTTCTTTGAGATACTCGTGCTCGATTCGTTTTCTCTCAAGCTAGCAGACTTGTTAGCTGGTCACGGAGGGGGGGGAAGGCCGACAAGTGGGTTTGATGTGAGGCAACAGCGTCGCCAGGTGGGGCCAAAAAAAAAACAAGTGAAGGTAGAGACAGATGGGGATGGGCAGGAGGCAATAGATACCACGGAGCAAGATGGGAAGGCTTGTACGTATAGCAACCAGACTGCGAGTGTCTGTAGAGCTGGGCCTAGGGGGGAGACTTGTTGTGTATAGGAAGAGAGAGAGAGAGAGAGAGAGCGAGAAACAAAAGAGAGCAAAGTTGTTTATCAGGCGGTTCCGTGGGGCGAGCAAACGAACTTGGCGGCTATAATACTCATTCCAGGAGGAAATGAGGGGGGGTTTGGGTGGTGTCGGGTGAGGGGCACTAAAAGACGCAGTGAAGTAGACTTACGACTTGGAGCTTATGGTACGTCTGTTGAGATTGGTCGTTAGCGGCCACTCTTGTTCACAGCGCATAGACATGACTGAGGAGCATACACGCTGAATACCAAACGCAGGAGCTTGAGGCTGCTTGGAGGAGCCAAGTGCCGTCGAGGCTGCGCGGGTTTCAACATGCAGGGTGCTCTCGAGCGCCGGCGCGTGTTCCCCAGGCTATGGTTGTACGAGAATGCCGACATACCGCTGTTGTAAACTCGGTCGGCTCAGCCGCCTGTCTACGCTGTTGGCCGATGGGGGACAATGGTGTGCTGAGGGTTGGGATGTTGTTGGTGGTGAAGCGGCGATGCAGGGTCGCGCGGCCATCGGCGTTGTGAGCGGCGCGATTCAAGGAAAAGAAGGAGGATTCATCGCGAGGCGAACGGAGGCCGCTGGCGCCACCCATGCCGTGGTAGGCCATGGTGAGCGAGGTGGAGAGAGAGGGAAACTAGAAATACACTGGCATTCACGTCAGGGCCCAAGGTCGTTGAAGCTGGTGTGGGGGTGTGGCGGGCGGTGTGGTGTGGTGTCGGGATGGGATGGGATGGGATGGGACGAGAGCCGCGGTTGGGCGCCCCCCCCCCTCCGCCCTCCGTGTCTGGGTGGGAGCGTCTCGCGTTGGGGGGGCGTTGGGGGGTGGGCGGTGGGCGGATACGTACAGGATAAATGGTACACGGGGCCAAAGCCCTTTGTGTGGGCGTGGAGTGTGCGCTGTGCTTGGGCGTGGAGTGTGGAGTGCTTGGTGTTACAGAGGGTTGGCGGAAAGGCAGGCAGAGAGCTCGGAACGGAGGCACTCGCAGGCGCGGGAGTGGTGCAGTGCAGTGCAGTGCGGATCGCAGCAACAGCAGCAGCAGCAGCAGCAGCGCGCAGTGGAGTGGAGAGGAGAGGGCGTGGTGTATGCAGGGAGCGAGTCGTGGGCCAGGGCTGCAAGTATGGTATTGGCCAGCCGTTGGGCAGGCTGGAGGCGGCGAAAGAAGATAGAAAGCAGCAGCGCCAGCCTCGTCACAGGCACAGGGCAACAAGGGCAAGAGAGGCAACAAGGTCAGGGTCCTTCAGGGGACAGCGCTGCACGGCGCTGCACTGCACTGCGCTGCACTGGCACTGACGGCCTGGCACTGGCACTGGCACTGGCACGGCCATGGCCATGGGCATTGGCACCATGTGGCGCGCCCGCTGCCCTTCCACGCACTAGCTGCTCCTCTACTACAGTAGCACGCCCACCAGTATACCATCTACCTAGCTGTACGGAGGTGACTATTAAAAGTTCCTGCTAGCGCCACGCTAAGCCGCTAGCCTATTAGTCTAACTATTTTTAGCGCCTATACCAATTTTCTAAGCCACTAATAGCTTATATACTTATTCTTTTAAGTATTTTTAATCTACTATAGCTCTAAATATAGATATATTAACCTAATCTTTTAATATTATATTAAAGTTAACTTTTAGTAGTATATTTATATATAAAATTATAGAAATAATAAGTATATTACTATATATGATTAACTTAATTCATAGTAGAGCCTACAAATAAGGATTTAAGCTTAATATATGCTTAATTGAAATCTTTTTATAGTACTTTAAAAATACCTTACGCGTAAGCTACCTTTATAAATGAGAAAAAATATATAATACTACTCTTAAGAATATATACTATAATAAGTATAGAAAAAAAAGCTATACTAATATTACTAGTAATTTTAGTATATACAGCTATAATACAGTATTATCTATTATATAAAAAGTTTTTTAAGTAGCTAATTATAATAAAATAAAGCTAATAAGAAAGCTTAAGTTAATAATAGAGATAAGATAAAAAACTCAAGTAGTGTCTTACTTATAAAGATTAGATACTTAAAGATCAAAGAAATATCATTCAGTTAATTAAAACTTTTATTATTTTTTACTACTATTATAGTAGCTATTATATATAGTAACGCTTAAATAGAGTTTTTACTAAAAGTATTATTCAAGAGTAGTAAAAAAGCTACTCTAAATTTATATTTTAAGGCTACTTTGTTATAGGCAAGAGAGGCCTAACTAATAAGTATGTATTCACCTATTGTACAAAAGAAGAAAGATATAGAAAAGAACTATTTAGAGGGCCCTCTTTTTATATTCAATACTTATACAAATACTTAAACCTTTAGTCTTTCTTCTTACTTAAGCTTACTTATATATAGCTAACTACGTTATTTAGTTACGTAACTAAAGCTATATAATTTACTACTATATAACATATAGGTTATACCTCTCTAGCGTAGCCCTTTATAATACTCCGCTTCTTTACCTTCTCTAATATCACGTGCGTATTCCTTAGTCTTCTTTTCCTTTCTTTTTATTAATTTGCTATTATATGTTTAGCGTCTTATATAGTTAAAGTAAAGGCAAATAGTAAAAGTAAAAAAGTGTTAAGTAATAGTGCTATAGAGCAAACGCTGTCTAGTGAGCATAAATACTCTTCTTTCCCTACCTACTACTTATTTCCTCTATCCTTTTAGCTTTAACTTTTCTCTTATTATTGTTACTTTCTTAAGTCTTCCTATATGATAGCTAATTATAAGATATTGTTAAGAGTAGGATCTTGAGTGCAAGTAATATAAGACTTCTGGTGTCAAGACTCTTGGTTGGTTTTCGCGGATGAAGCAACAGGGTGATATGAACAGTGTCTCTGCAAGTAACTCGTATATTGTACTTGTACTCGTAACTTAAGTTGAACACATCGAGCCATAAGGGCTCAATGCCTATTGCTATATACTTGTGATGCTCGTAACCCTCGGTCAGAGGAGCCCGAGCATTCCTCGGTGGCTTATGTACGAGGTTCATTCCTCGATGGATCATGTACGAGGAGTCTGCCAAGACTCTTCCTCGTGCATGCGCCACCGAGGAGGTCACGTGATACGTGCCCCCGCGTTACATATGGCTGGGTCGACTGGCCGTCGATGCTTCTTAACTTAACCGCCGTGCCCCTTCCTTCAGGTTCGTAACAGATATAGGCTCATAGCTAAGTTAACGCCTTACATTTTTACATAAATAATAGAGTTCATAATACTATTAAGTAGGCAACTACTTAGATCTTTTATATTGCTTATTAGTTACTTACTTATATAAAACTAGGTGCTATTTAGGCTATAGCGCCTATTATCATTAGAAAAGTTAACCTTAATAACTACTAAGTCTAGTATATTTTTAACGCGCAGGTTGCTAAAGAGATTTACTAAGTGTTTACTACTACTTTTATAAGTGTTACTTGCTTGTTATATATCTAAAATAGCTAACTAGTATAGCTTAAGCTTTACTAAGTCTTTAATATATTCTACTATTTCAAGGGGCTATTGCTATATAACGCTACCTTTAGTCTTAGCCTTAGTAGTTATTCGCCTATTATCGCTTATATAACGCTCTACGCCTATTAAATCTTAGGTGGCTAACTCTTATACTTTAAGGCCTTCCTTGTCTATTTACGTAGTGTAATGGGCGGGCCCAACGGGCCGAGCGTACGACTACTTACGCCATCCATAGCCAAAAAGGCAGTAACAAGACTTCAAGCTTCTTGAAGTCTAGGTAGTCGTATAGATATACTCGATCACACACACACTTTAGGCGTAGCCTCTTACAATACCTCCTCTCTTAAAACGTACGAGTATATCTACTACTTGCCCCCATAGGGATCACGCGACCCTTGTCACGTGACCATCACGCGACCCTTGTCACGTGATCACATGGCCCTTGCCACGTGTCCTATGTGAGCCAACGCTTCTGGCCTGTACCAGAATCGAACGTTAGACCCTTAGGGTAGCTTGAAGTAATGTAATGGGCGGGCCCAACGGGCCGAGCGTACGACTACTTACGCCATCCATAGCCAAAAAGGCAGTAACAAGACTTCAAGCTTCTTGAAGTCTAGGTAGTCGTATAGATATACTCGATCACACACACACTTTAGGCGTAGCCTCTTACACGTAGCGCCCTTAATACTACATTTTATAATAACTATACGCTAGTCTTAGATAAGGCAAAAGAGTTTATAGCCTTTGTTAGTTATGTCTCTATCTATAAAGAGTAAGAGGGTGCGTATAGCAATTGCATCTAGTAGGACTATAGCACCTATTATATAGCAGAAAGAGGGGATAGTTTATCTATCTATACGCTAGCTAAGCATTGTTTTTTAGGCACTAAAAGGGATTATTTAGCCTCTAGGGGTAGCGCTAAGTCTTTATTACTTATTAAGTAGCTTTTACTTTTAGCTATTTTATAGCTAGCTGTTAGGTTTTGATATAGAGGAAGTTTAAGCGAGCTATTTATCTAGGGCCTTTATGTCTTTAAGTGCTTTAGCTAGTTCCTAACTTCCCTCTAAGTAGCCTATCTAAATAATAAGATATTATAGTTCTCTATTTTGTATTTATTTATTTGTGATGCTTTATGTAAGCTATTCTGAATAGTCTTCTTCCTCTCTATCTTCTTATATAACAATAGCTATAAAGCTACTATTATTAATTTATTATAAGAGTAAGAGGTTGTTAGATACTAGCCTTAGCTTATCTACGTAGAAGGATTTTATTTCCTAAGGTGTAACGGGCTGAACGCCCTTTGGATAGCTCCTCGATGGAATCTCGGGCCAAGCTGCGCGCGCACCATCTGAACTACGTTCAGACCGAGCAGCGCTCAGACAACGCGCTCAGATACTCCGGCATAACCTTTCTCCGATAAGTAAATAAACACCACGTAAGCAGAGTAGATAGCTCCTTATCGAATACAACCTCTTGTATACCTCGCGATTGCTCCCCGGAGCGCAGCCCCTTACATAAGGCACTATAAGTTCTACCTAGTAGGGGTCCTATACGTAGGCGACCTGTACTTTCTACTTTTCTAGTCTAGCCTTTTACTTATCTAGGCTATTTATATATTATATAAGTCTAGCTAGACCTGGTTTTCTACTTTATAAGTAGGCGATAGTTTATAAAATTTATTCACCTACTTTTCTTACTCTTATTAGGCGTATAACATTACTAAAACTACCTAGTTTGCCACATTACTAATCGTACGTACTATCTCTTTAGCTACTACACTTGCTTCTTAGTTATCTAAAATAGCTTCTTTTTAGGGAAATAAGGTATTATAGTAACTATAATAGAGATAGAAGGGGGATACACCTATAGAGGCGTTTATATAGCAGTTAAGCATAAGTTCTAAAAGGGGGTAAAGCTAAGCCTAATTATCTTAGTTATAGTTGCAAAAGATCTATATAACTACTTCTATGTCGCTTTTAGCTTATTCTATTATTTTTATCTATTTATAGGTAGTAAGCTATAGAAAGATTCCGCTAAATATTTAGTAGCTTATAGATGTTCTTCTATAGTTAGCTTGCGAACTAGGGGCTGTAGTTAGACGTAATAGACTATAGAAGGCTATAGTAGTAGTAGACTT